ACACCCTCATATTTCTGAGATCATTAGGGTGTGCAGTGAACAAGGGGAAGTCTCAGAGGTAACCCAATTGCTGCCTTGTCTAAGAGTAGATATAGACACATACTTCCATCTTCTATCCCTCAAACACCCACATCTGCAAAAACAAAACATGTGCACATCAGCTAGTTGGTGTAGTGGGTATGTTAATTATGCGCAGTGAAAATGTGTATCAAGACATCTAGACTTAAGTATCAAGTTGACTAATGAGTAAGGCAGTCTTTATGGCGGCTGGTAAATCTCGACGATTTGGTGATAAGAAGCCTTTCATTCTGTCATGACTGAATGTCAAGTTATTACACACACATAACATGATTAGACATAGGATCATATGCTGAACCCACAGACACGGGGATTTTGAGACAGAATGCAGATTCACATCAATTGAAAGTAAGTTAAAGAGCGGTGGTCGTGCGCCGGGTCCTGTTTGCCATGGGACTTGTATCAAACTGTACGCTGTATACACACTCGTAAAATGGAAGAACCGGTCAAGCATTGTGGAAAAAGTGCGGGAAAGTATGCCCTCTTGCGGTGAATCAGCGGTTAGACAATGTAAAGGCGAATTGACATTGTATACTTGTACCAGCACATCGTATAAAGGTACAATCACATCGCATAAAGGTACTATCACATCTTATAATGACATATTCACATCGTATAAAGTTCTTCTCGCATCATATAAAGGTCTGTTCACATCATATAAAGATATATTCACATCATATAAAGGTATGTTCACATCATATAAACGTGTGTTCACATCATATAAAAGTGTATTTACATCGTATAAAGGTGTGTCCAGATCGTATAAAGATGTGTTCACATCGTATAAAGGTGTTTTCACATCGTATAAGGACAAGTTGACATGATATAATGGTATACTCGCATCATATAACGAGAACAGTAGATAATATAATGTCATCTATACACTTAAGACAGCTGCGGCCTTTCCATATACTGCCACTAAACAGATACTTTGTATATGATTTTGTATATGAATTGATATATGATTGATTAATTGATTCATTCATTCACTGGTCGATTAATGTGACATTGGAAGAACATTTCTAACTGATGGATGACACAGCGGAAGTTCATCTTATTAAACTAGCTGTCCAGACTCAAAATCAGCTGTCCATGTTGTGGATATTGAAATGTGAAAGTCAAACAGATATTCAGCACCTGTGGTTTTCGCACCTCCAGTTGTGATAGCTCATTAAGATGACTTCTAGCAATACGTAATTTCCAAAATTGATCACTTCTATTACTGGATATGACATTTCCAGTGATAGTTTCAAAATTTTCGAATCCATCACCATGTACACAATGATTTACCAATTACTAGTAAACAACCTAAACATAGTCCACGCCGGTTGAGCCAAGTGATGTAAGCATACATAAATAGTGACTCGCCTTGCACAGAAAAACGTAAAAACTGAAATATCGAAACAATTAATGTTATTTAACATCATTGGGACACCCGGTAAACGTGAATCAGAATTCAGCACAATATACTGAAATGCATTTTCAGCAAAATGTAAACAAGAATACGCTTTTCACGCAAAAAGATTATAGTTTATATTTGAATGCAAAACTTAGTCGCCAGCTAACTGGGAAGTACGTCTTGTGAACTTGGAAACTTTATGCGGTGTTGTATGACATCGAGCACGCCTGTTAGTGTAACACTCTTATTTACTGTGTATAATCCTTATAAAGTACGATACCAAATGAGAAGAAGGAACTTACGAGCATATACTCTTCAACTCTTCACAACTCATTCAATATTGTTAATATGAATGGCATGTGAATATGAATAGTGCATTTAGTACACACATCCAAAGATCCAAAATCCAGATACTGATATGCTTCATAGTTTTGCATAACACAGTTGCATCAAAACTAATCAATACACTTCAAATCTATAAATGTTAATTCAACCACATGAGTTTGTGAAGTGCTGAAGAATCGCTAGAATTCAAATGTGCTAAACAACACTGTGGGGAGGTTGAATATGTCAAATACATTTTGCAATTCATCAAACTATTGCAAAAATCCCACCAAGCAGGCAATATCTCTAAAATTATTTAACCATTTTATGATTTTATTGCATGTGTGAACTTCTACACTCAAGTCTTTTATTTGATATATCAAACGATGTTTTAGTGGGGTACATTGAAAATCTGTACCTGGATTTTAGAGTTACGTAACTTTTTTAAACCAAAATATGCAAATTCACTACAAACCTTTTGTTTTCCCTTACTTGCTAAAATTACGTGGATGTGAGGGTTGCATGATGACATATGCAGTTCAAGGTCTAAATTACCTACCCAGAAAAGGGCGTATTCATGTGTGGATTTTAAGAAGTCAAATAATTACTTTGACTTTATTAGAATTAATCAAAAAATGCAAATAAGCATAAGTTCAGTGAAAATTAATCTAGCTATAAATTAGGATGACTTTATAATTACTAACGGTAGAATTTCTGGGAATTGAGGCTCGTAGTGTAATTGCCTGTGTAGCTATCACGGGGGAAATTCTTCTCCTCTGGAGTTCTCCACACGTGTCAGGGGGGAATCTTGTCTCGTCTCTTTATCGCGTCCCCTTGATGTATGGGATCGGGAAAGTCACTTAAACTTTACAGTCAAATAAGACACACACAACGAAATACGTTTCAACTCTTGTCTTAGTCGGTCAGTCAAGCACTCTATGAGACACAGCGCCCTGGGGAAAAGTCCCCAAGACTATCACAAGGCTGACCCAAGACTCTCTAAGACTGTGTCAGGACTCGCCCCAAGACTCTCTAGGACTGGACTGCGTCTCTTCTCGTGTACTCGCCAAGACCAACTAAAAACAACTTTATTCACTTTAAAAATCTTAACCAATTACAAAGCAGTAAAAAGACTCTAGGGCGTAACCTTCAATCATAAAGCCAATCACACTAAGTACTGAACACGTCATATCTTTTGATTAATCGTTCACTACATTAATAATTGCGAATACTAACTGTCAGAAATAGTAGTCAGAATAGCGACGGTTATCTCGTAATTAGTTCCAAATCACTGAGTCGAGTTCCGTCCAGAACCTCGCCTAAACGATGACAGACATAACACATCAATTCGCTGGTAATCAACTAAATAAGTTGGTCAACAGATATGCAAAAACAAATTCATCACACATCCCTTCACTCAACCTGAGCCATGTCTCCCGGAATAACACGTTCATAAATCAAAGATACCGTCCTCTATTCATCGTCATACGGGTTAAATACAATACTAATAAAAAGGTATAAATCAAATAAGTAAAACACACTGATTAATAAACTGATTATAAGTCTAAATACAATGATTATAATGTCTCAAATATCAACGATTATAAATCAAAAACAAAGGAAAGGCTACCATTCGACTCACTTTTCTCAAAATGGTCCGCTGAGGTAACCCTTCGCTGCACTGTCTCCGTTACTAAGGTTACAAACTCTATATCTAAAGGTCAAAAAAACTAAGGCGTGGCGGTGTAACCAAGCGACCAGCTAATCCCGGCCATCGACAGCATGATTACGTGATTACCAGGGATGCGTCTCTCGGTTAAAGCATTGCAAAGCGGTAACTAATAAACAATGAATAAACAAGCAATTAATCAAACTCCTGTCATATACGCTTATAAACTTCAACTGAACTCAAAAGTCGTTAATCTAAACAAAAGTCATACAGCGTGGAATGGAATACAAAGACAAAGCTATTATAACACATTACTCCTCTGGCAATTAAGACGGGAAAGGCTAAAATGATAGACACTACTAAGTCACATATAATCCTGTCAATCATGAACAAAAGCTTGCGTTATTAAACAATACGCATATAAGCACACCACACTCTCACTTCAAAAAGACATTTAAAAACGTTACAAAGATGCTCTCAACTCAAATCAACTCAAAAAGCGTCAGAAGTATTCCGAAAGAACACGTAAACAACAATAACTCTTAAAACGTCGATATCTCTGTACATCGACAAATCTCAAAACTCTTAAAACTCTTTGGGGCATTACTTTCCCCATCATATTCCGTACTCATAAACTCATTAAAACTCCATAAAACTTCACAAAACTCAAAACACTGTGTTGAAAATACTTGTCCACTTGCTATTCGATACTCGTCCTTCCGAAGGGGCTCCGAAGTCTTCATCTCTTCAGCGTTGTTCATCAGTGTCGTTTGGGTAAAGCCATTAGTCGTCAAGCGCAGTTTTGTCTCTGCCATCGTGCTGCTGGTTTGGTTCGCAAGAAAGACACACCTTCGCCATTTCACTTTTCTTCATAGGATGTCAATATGTGTTAAACACCTGCCCGGGATCTCCACTCACATATCACAGGGGAAATTCTCTTCTCCCCTGGGGTTCTCCACACGTGTCAGGGGGGAATCTCGTCTCGTCTCTCTATCGTGTCCCCTTGAGGTACGGGATCAGGAAAGTCACTTAAACTTTACAGTCAAATAAGACACACACAACGAAATACGTTTCAACTCTTGTCTTAGTCGGTCAGTCGAGCACTCTATGAGACACAGCGCAAGGCTGACCCAAGACTCTCTAAGACTGTGTCAAGACTCGCCCCAAGACTCTCTAGGACTGGACTGCGTCTCTTCTCGTGTACTCGCCAAGACCAACTAAAAACAACTTTATTCAGTTTCAACTAAATAGTAATCAACTAAATAAGTCGGTCAACAGATACACAAAAACAAATTCATCACATAGCTTACAATTGTGTTGAAGAGTTGATACATACTATATTTATATGTGACACTAAATACAAATTAATAAGGTACATGTAAAGCACGTTCTCTAAGCATTAGCTATTAAAGAAAAATGTAAAGTTCACTCATGTGATGCGTCACCACCGTTGAACTTCAGTTAATAAAATTGTGCGTGAGTGTAATTTTGTTAGCCCTGTGGGCTCCGTCTTGTTTACGAATACATTTTTCAGCGTCTGTGTACAATTAATTTGTATGGCTTGGGAGTCAGTGATATCCCTATTCGTGGATCCAACGTCGAGGGTGGACTATTGATGGGGAGGCTGTACGAGTAACGATGTAACAATGTGCTGAATATTATGAACAATTCAGCTTTAGCAACATGTCGACCCAGACAGGATCTTGGTCCTATAAAGAAAATACGAAAAATATAAATACACATTTTTCATGATATGGTCTGCGTTGGCGACGATCTGACACTGTAAATATCATACCTGCCCCAAACGGCATAAATGCTTTTTTAGTGACAATTCTGCCATTCTCGCCCAACATTCTTTCGGGGTTGAATTTCAAAGGATTGTCCCAATATTTGTCGTTCATATGTACAGACCAGAAGTTTGTTATAACCATTGTACCACTTGGAATATGGAATCCATTGAGCGTCGTATCTTTCGTCGCACAGTGAGGTACACCAATGTAGGCAACGTGACGTATTCGTAATACTTCCATGATAGTCGCCATTGTGTAAGGCAATGATTGCATATGTTCACGACACACCACTGTTACCACACACTCTGTAAAATAAAGAATATAATGTGTAATGTGTAAAGCTGTGTAATATGTGTGCATTGCATTCTCGACTGACATATAAGAATATTTTTCTAGTAGAATTTTAAATGGCGTTTAAATTTCGTGTAAAACGACCATACACGAGTTGTATACGTCAAATAGATCTAGTATCAAACACTACGCGTTGCGACTACCATTGACTTCAAAATAATGTGTCGTGATGATTGTGGTTATTATTATTTTCTAAAAATTCTCGTTGACGGTGTTCAATCCTAGTCTGAATATTCAACATTCATATTATGATGTTGCCTAAGAGCTAGTTGTAATCCTTATATCAATAGGACAGTCCTAACCCGCAAAAATTACAGTCACCTTGAAGTTATAGTGCATATTCAAACTGATAATTACCTTTTGGGAAAACTTTATCTAACTCTCGCTGTACACGATCCTGTATCTCTGGATAGTATGCCATGTAAAGTAACGCCCAGTTTAGGGACGTTGTGGTAGTTTCAGTACCTGATACAAACATATCGCATAACAAATACACTAATTGTGTGTCAGTGAAGTGGGACAGATCACTGCCTCCTTTTCTCTGCTCTGTCTGAAAAGCATCGATGATATCTTGAACATTTGTTTTGTTTGTTGTTCTTGTTGCTGCTGCTGCTGCTGTGATCTTGTGTTCGTTTATGACAGTCTCACTGTACGCGGCCACTTTCTCAATACCGGTGCGCAGGTCTAACTCCTTGAAAACAGTCCCAGTAAGGTACGGGAAAAAACGAGCAAGTTGAAATATCATGCGAAACGGATTGCTATTAAATATCTCGTCCATGGAACTGATCAGGTGCTGGAAATTGGAATCCGTATAACAATACTGGCGTCCGTACGCTATTGAGCACACCACGTTAGCTGTTGTTGTTTGCAAATAACGGCTTGCGTCCGAACTGTCGAGCAACTGGCACGATTTTCCATCCATCCACTCAATCAGCTGGCTTGTCGCATGCTGTATTCTAGCATCGAGTGACAACTGTTCTTTACCGGTGCATCTGAGACATTTTGAAACCAATGCTCTCTGTGTAATAAATGCTGCATCATGTTGACGAGTGAGTAGACCTGCATGTGTGGAAAAAAAGAGGTTTATCGCAGGAATCACATGTTTTTTCGGGAGGGGGTGAGCTGCATGACGCGATTGGTTGAAATAGTCTCATTTGCATTAATTAATATTCATGAGCAATGAAAAACTCGTCTTTTTAGTAAAACAGTGCTAAAATTCTTTCCTGTCTTTTCAGTAAAACTGTGCTAAGATTATTTCCTATAGCCATCATGGTTGTTATAAATTGACTGATTATATCATTACGAGCTGAAAAATAATCGAAAACACTGATGTAAAAGTGTATTTTGAGACACGTTTTTTTATCAGACTCCTGCAAACTGTTGTAATGAGTTTTTGAAAGTTACGAAAATCATGGGGAATGCAGAAGCACTTGATATTTTTACTCAAAATGATTTCAATAACTTTTACCAGCGAAAAGTTACATAATTAGTATGTATTTCGAGAAATCACTGCGCACTTTGAAATAGAACAATTTTGAATGCAATAAAATCACGCGTAGAACTCACTCCAGCAAGGAACTTGTGGTGTTAAACTGGTTATCGGTTTGATTGTTTTGCAATAGACATAATTTTAGAACTTGAATAATCCTATGTGATGTTTCTATATTTTGTTGAGAATTATTCTGAAAAGAAATCGATGAAAGTATTTTATCTGTTCGTAAACTGGACGTTGTTGCTTCCACGATGGGCTACGGACGACTGACTTTGAAACGCTCCATCCAGATCGGTCGGGCCTTCTCGTGTACCCTCCCCCTCGTGTTTCTCATTAAGGGTGAACTAACCTTCCATATATTTCAAGAATCTCTAACCACCATGGTATTGACTTCTATATAAATCAGAGGCGGTGGCACGAAATTTTGCAGGAGGCGCGAGATCTGAATTCTAGTCTCTCTGAAACGCTATTTCCTGCATTTGAGGGGCAAATTTTCGCTGACACAAGGGTTTTCAGCTTGATTTGGGGGTGACAACATTTTATTCGGGTGATCGACCACCCCTCTGCTCGGTGCCGCCGCCACTGCTGAATGTACTGCCAAAATGTAGTCGTATTACTAATTTTACACAATTACAAATGTACATGTAGTAAACCTGTGGCAGTTGTATCATGGAAAAAATTATGAAATGAGGTATATGTGTTCGGTCCCCAGTCCGACACTGGGTCTACAACCTGCACCTGCCACTATAATAACCTTTAACAACCTGCAAAGCTCGAATGTATCTTCTTGAATTTGTGTTTCACGAGTGACACCTGTATTATGTGAAAACTAGTGACTGTATAAACAGAGACGGCAACTACTATACATTTTCGATTGGTTCCGATATTACCTCAGTTGCATGGCGGGGGATTACATTCTATTAACAACCGTGATTAGTGCAGCTGCAGAATGAGATGAGAGGTACTATACGGAAGACATCGCCAATTGAAATCGATTAAACGTACTATATTCATACGATATAATGTAGGCAATCACCAATTTGAAAGCTAAATGATGTCATTCGTGGCATAATTATATAAGGTTTACTGACCTTGGCCGTCATTACCAGTTAATTTCACGAATAAATCTGGTCTCCCAGCGAACACCTTTCCATTTGTGACCAACACCTCTGTCATTGCTTCTATACCATTAACTATTACCATACTGATTGGTCCAATCTACCATATAACATGATGGGTTCATTGATTTACTAATAACAAGGGGTATTGGTAAATATAACGCCTCTTAATTAAAACAATATTTTATACACATAATAAACATATAAATGCAGCGTTGGAGAAACATTCAAAGAGGGTTAAACAATGAGATGTGTATGGTTATGGCATGTGACAAATTGTAGCTATAATTTAAAGCAAGATATCATATTCAATGATTGCGGTGAATGGCCACCGTTAGCACACAAAGATACAATTTATTTTACACGATTTTGCCGGAGATATTCAGATTTTTTGGCAAAAATCAATCTCACTTTATGAATCTTGAATATTATCTTCACTGTCTATAGCTCATTAAAAAAGCATAGTCTCGTTATTATTAACATTTTTAAAAAGTGCTTAGATAACGTGCAACATATGGGGATAGCCAATACATTGACTTGCTACAGAGGGTATTGCCCTTAATGCATATTGTCCACGCTTCTAACACGCGACAGGTAGATGCCTTATCTGTAAAACCATAGTGTACCTGGACACCGGATGATAAGGAAAATTCAGAAACCACTATCAGAACTGATTACAGTGGATAACACATCGCATGATCCGCATTGCAGTTTGTACTTGATTTTCATAGTAACCATAGTTAGAAAATGTATTAACGACGAAAATCAATACTATCAACTTTCGAAGAAGAACTTTCCCGACATAATTATACCTTTAATAACAGAATGACAGGAGATTGATAGGTAGTATGTTAGAATGCAACCTTATACGATTCGATGTCAATCAATATAAAATTTCCAAAGACTAACTTTGAAAGTAGGTGGGGGAGTCAAGATCCAAACTAGTCCCGTAATTGGAGTGACTTCACTAGGCGCGCATGCTTTTTTCGTATATGTGTTTGAATATAGGCTTTAAAATGAACACTTCATGTTCATTTCATTTTTAACGAATTAAGACTCGCATCACATTCTAAGTATATCAGATATATATGGGGTTTAAATACGAAGTGTTCAATTACACATGATAATTCAGATGTGCGGGACCCGATGTCGCTATGTGATTAAATACTTAAAGATAACACATAACACTGCTGATCAAAATTCCAGTAACATTCTGTACATTACACAGACGAACGTTCGCCACTCGAACTTTAATATCAATGATATAACAATGAATCATCAAATGCAAAAGATTATAGCGCGGCTCGACTGTAATTGGCAAGTCGACATATACGAAGGTGCCACTCTTCTTCTAGCAATGAATTCAAATAACGAATGAGCATGTGGCGTTATTTCTGTTGGAGTGTTGGGTTATTATTGTCTAAGTATATAGGGGAGAAAATAATATTAAAGAAAAGATAACCAAATAAAGTCGGGATTCTATTCTATTCTATTCTATTCTATTCTATTCTATTCTATTCTATTCTATTCTATTCTATTCTATTCTATTCTA